CAGGTGCAGAGCTTTCAGCCAAGGCCATGGCACAATCCATAAATTAGCTTCCCTGTGCCCAGGCATCCTCATCAACTCCATTTAGTAGTGGTTGAATGGGAAGGTCAATGGGTCAGTTTGTACAGAAGGGCATGGGTATGCAGGCACATGGCTGCCACCCTGGGAGGTTTGGGGCAGGCAGGGCCCTGGTATGGCCCAGGAGCTCCCAGTCCCGAGTAGGAGGGGACTGCCCCTGCCTCTGAAGCGCCCATTGTCCTGGAGGCCAGCCCTCCAGCCTCACTGGAGGCTTTTGGGGAATGGCTCTTTAAGAGGTCGGGGGCCGCTAGTCCTGGCCAGGCTTGGGAATGCAGGGATGAACGTGGCATGGTGTGGCCCTCCAAAAGCCTGGAGTTAGAGGCAGTGACCAGTCTTAAACACGCAAACCTCCCACAGGGTAACGACGGAGCAAGGCTGCCTGTGGTAAGCTAGGGAATGAAAGAGCAAGGTTCCGGAGAAGGGCACTGGGGCTGGCAGAGATGAGAGATGCGATGTGCAGAGAAGGGAGGGCACGCCAGTGGGAGGAGAGTAAATTCAGAAAAGCAGGTTGGAGCCAGGTCGCAGAGAGAGCTGGATCACAGGACTTGGGATTTGTCCTTTCTCTGGGGCCATGAAGGATAATGAGCAAGGGCTTTGGCCATGGACTCGGAGCCTTAGAATGACGGATCTGGTTCTGTGTCCTGGCTGCCTTGAAAAGGGGGTGGCTGAGATTCAGAGGCCATGTCAGTGGTGTGGGTAAGAGGCAACGATGCTTAGATGTCATTTGCTTTAAATGTGACTCCACATACTGGAGTCACATACTGTCACTATCGCCCCCACCCAGGGAGTCCCAGGGCTCATTTGCCAACACACAGCTTCTGCTTTCTCCAGGGCCTCCAAGTCCCCCAGCCACTGGGAGTAAAGTCCCAACACTGTTGACAATACCCACTGGCCCCCTGGTAAAGGCAGATCCAAGTCCCGTTATTCCACCCACGCCCCAGCTTCCCAGACAGCCTCCCGCCCCTGATCCTCCCACTCTGCACTGCAGGTCACTGACCCTACTGGTCAGCTGGCTCATATAAAGACAGCAGGCCAGGCCTGCGTGCTCAGTGATGGCGTCTGTTCAGTGGTCCTGCCTCATCTTAGCCCTGCTCTCTGGCTTGGTGATCCCTGGCTTCCCAGGAAGTCCCTCTCGGCAGCTTGAGGTAAATCTGTCCCCTTTTCATCATCTGGGTCCATCACACAGGCAGAGGTACGAGCCTGGGTGGTCCTCTACATGGGTGAGGGGGG